AATTGACATGACTCACAAGCTAATGAAGATAAATTATTAAACTGGGAACATAGTTTCTTTAAAAATGGTAAAGAAGGATGTCCTAACCAACAATGCGCCTCAAAAGGGGTCGAAATACTGGAACATGCAATGGTTCTGGGCACCTGTGTGTCAAGGATGTAGAGCCCTCTAGATTCATGTCCTTTACCAATAATCTACCTCGTCGTAAGATCCTAAAACAGGGAATGATCAGGGAAAAATGAGATGCAACATTTAAGAGCACGAGTGAGTTTACTCACAAAAATTAAATTAAAAACGAACTGTGGTAGACTCAATACAGATGATAGGGAAATTAACGAAGTATGGTTAACAGACCCAAACCCAAGAAAACAATAAGTTGACCTATCAGCTAAAGTAACATTAGACGAGGAATTATGTGACTGATATGTTGAAAATAGACTAGGATTACCCGTCACATGATCTGTAGCACTAGAATCAATGACCTATTTGAAGGATGAGGAAATAAGAATGTATTTGGTTTACCTGACTCGACAAGAGTAGTGATGGAAGTAGATAAGGACTTCAATGATTCTTGATACTGAGAAAACTTGGCAAACTCATCAGCTGAAATCATAACCGTCTTCTCAAAAGTATCAGTAGTGGCAACATAAGCTGACTGAGTTTTCTGGGCCTTATTTTGCAACTTTCTACACGTGCACTTTGTATGACCGGGTTCATGATAGTAGTAGCACACAGTCCCTCCTGACTCCTGACTTTGATTATCACGATTATTCGAACCCCCTCCTCTATTATTGCTCCTGTTAAATGAACGCCCAGTGTCATTATTCTGACTTACAAGAGCACTACTTAACTAAACAGATGGAATGTTTTCTATATGAAGAACCCTAGTAAATACGTTTTGGAGGGAAGTGATCTCAGAACTGGCGAGAACCTGAGATTTAACAAATTCAAACTCAGAAGGGAGTCCAGCTAGGAAACACATAACTGCCATTTTCTCTCGTTGAGCTTGTTGAACTTTCACATCAACACTCAATAGTAAAAGGATGTTAAGTTCTTCACATATCCTTTTAAAGTCCATAAAATAGACCATAAGAGACCTATCTTGTTTCTCAACTCGATAAAAGGTTTGCATACATAAAAAATACGAGAAACATTCCCTTTCCTAGAATACAAAAAATCTAGATAGTCCATCAACTCTTTCACATATTCACAATGATTAATTAAACCAAGTACCTCATTGTTGATGGAGTTCTGTAGAACAATCAGGCATCCTCTCTCAACCATATTATCTTTGAATCGTCTTCAGACGGATCTTTTGTGAGATGATCATCTTTACCAATGCTTCGCAGGTAGAGACGAATTGTCTTACTCTAATCAAAATAGTTATCAGACCCATCAAGCTAATGCTTTTGACATTACAGGAATCATATCAGTTATGGGCTTATTAGCCATGGTAAAAAGATGAAAAACAACAAACTGACCTCATCACAAATAGCCAACAAAACTCTTCAAAGAACGAAATCTGACACCAACAAAAATCAACAAAACTAATCTGATGGCTGAGATACTGAGGAACTACTCACACAGGCTTGCCAAAAATATCAAGACGAAGCCGAGAAGGGTGATTGTGGCACTGTCCTCTATCACACGCGCGCCCACGCGTCGGAGCATGAATACTCCATAGATGAAAAAGGTGGCACGTGAGACTCACGCGCTGCTCCTCCAGTGATCGAACTTCAAGGAATGGTCGATCGCCAGAAAGGGCTTCTTCCTAGGGAGGCGGTGAGAAAAAAAGGTCACTCGCCAGGGTGACTCACAAAGAATGCTCACTTGGGTAGAGAAAAAGAAAACAAAATTGATAAACAACCTAGAATTGCTCTGATAACATGTTACAAATAGAGAACTGATTGTGATTTTCTTATGTCTGTATTGATAAATTATACATCAATATATAGGAAAATAAAGAACTAATCTAGGAAACAAATAATCTAATCTAGGAAATAAATAATCTAACTTCCTATTTTACAGATTTGTTCTTAATATATATTGATTACAACCCTAATATCCTATTATAGATTTATACACTTAATCATGCAATATCTGTAAGATTTCGCATGATTATCAACAACACATATGATTTGGAAAAATTATTCAAAATGACATATTAAACCATTGTGATTCTAGTGCCCGAGTAACAGGTTGACCTATTGCAAGGCTATTCTCTAAAAATATTCTCAACTGTAGAGCATGATTCTATATTAAGAGTTCAAAAGATCTTAAAAAATTGCCCTCCTTGATAAACAACATTTTAACAACCTTGACTAAAGCCATTTGTCTGGTTTCAACTTCCATCAACTGCGAAAAGGAGAATAAAGAAAGAAATGTTTGCATTGCAGATGACAACTATCAATTGATTAAATAAAGTTAAATCGTATACTACTAGAAGCAACAATTTAAAAAAAAAATTAGGAAAAAAGCCAATTTAGGAACATTCAAATTCAAATTCTGTCCACAAATCTAGTATAATTGAAAGCAAGAAATGTAAAAGAATTATACCTCTGAAGCTGTCCCACTAAATTTTTTTACCGTAACATCTCTTGTAGATGGACCTAGCTTCAGTTAAATGTCCCAATTCAATTTCCATAGCTATATAACCTTGCCAAGCTTCCAACATTGACCTGCTGCACAGACAAAAGCAAATTATACAGAAAAAAATACAAAGATGAATCCTAAATCAATCATATTGAACTATATAGGATAAGAAAGAGAAAAGGATGAATGGGCCAAACCAAATCTTAACCAGGCCCTCCCAAACACCCAGAGCTGCAGCCAAATTTAGCTCCAAACGAGCCTAATAAGCATACAAATGCAGCAAACCATCTGTATTCTTCATCCGCTGAGATAAGTAATCTGATGTGCACTGAAAGGAAGAAACTACACAGTTAAGTATTCAAGTACATATAATATATCCAATCATACAGAGCCTACAATTTCGATGGTACACTAAAGAGACATCAAGCTGATTGTTTATAAACACAAATATTGAAGACAGCCATTATACAACAACGATGTACCAGTTGAATATGACATGCAAATTTTATAAATTCACAGATCCATAAAGATATCTTTTATGCATGCAACTCCAATGCTGAATGAGAAATTTTTTAGCAAAGGACACTATTCCATGACAAAATAATTAACAAAGGTAACAATCTAGAAATTAGCAAAAGCCATCTTGGATTACCGAGAGCTATGCACTGTAATTTCTACATAAAGTGGTCGTAATGGTACTATAACAGCACACTAAATGAAGTAAATTAATAGACTTTTCTTCAGAGTCTAAGGGTATAAGCACTTGATACATATTCATAAGAGATCTAAGCCTGGACCCTGAAGGAGTAGACTAGCTACAAGGTCCACATTTTCTTCATCCAAAATTCACCATGAATAGAGCATCTACAAATGTCTTGAGAGGCCTCAAGTTCTTGACATCGAGTAAAAACAATTTTGACGAGAAAAAATGAATAGTATACATATGCGAATCTGAAAGCTTTCCCTTATCAATGGAAAATTTAGTTCATCCTGTTCTGCTCCAGGCAAAAGGATTCTTCGTCTCAAACCATCCACTTGAGTGAGAAATAAGTTTAGGTACTGAAACAAAGAGGGCCCAATTAACAAAGATCTTTAATGCATAAAATGTAGATGAAACAATAACAAGTTACAAAAAGTAGTAAGTCAAGCCTGCAAATGAGAGAAAAGAATATCTTTACCTCCTCAATGGTTGAAAAATTCCATAGAAGGGAATTCTCAAAGACCTGAATATGATATGAAAATCTTTTTAAACAATAAGAGTAAACCTCTATATTTGTAAAAGGAGCATAATGAAATTACAACACTAAAGTTTGTGAAACTTCATTGCTCTTAAGCTACTTATAACAATCTCTCATAATTCGCAACAGATGAAGGGTAACAACAACTGAAACTTATGGTAGATATCTCTTTCTCAAGCGCACGACAACATTCCAAAGCAAGCAAAGATCGAATCCAAAGATCACAACCCAAGGACAATTTTTCCTCGCCCTGGAATGAACATCCCGCACAATATTTCCTACCTGAAGGGAAAAAGAGATGATTAATTGCCAAACCTGCAAATACCTGAAACACAAAGAATTGAAAAGAGAAAATATGAGTGAAACCTTCAAGGTTTTATACAAATAGCGAGTATAATCAAGCCACAGATCACTTAATGTAGGAAACAATATCTGATAGTAAATGTTATATACTGTGAATTGTTGAAATTTTTCGGGGTCAGATATATCCTGCCTTGTAATCTGTTCTACAAAATCAGCTCGAACATTATACATCTCCAATGCCTTTTGATACGTTGAGGCAACAGTAGAAGGAATCCTATCTAAATCACCTGATTCAACATCTAGAGCAATCCCCAGTTCCACCTCCCAAGACTTGCAGGTGAGAAGGGTTGACCTTACGTTAGCAAGGGGAACAGACAACTGATGGTGAAATATACTTCGGATGTGTTGAACCTGTTTTTCTTTTTCCTGCAAAAGAGCAGTAATTTTCCAAATATAAATTTTGAAAACAGATACTTTTTCTAGGTACATAGCACTTCATAGGGAAATGAAAGAACAAAATTTATGAACTATACATAATGACGAAAAGAAGAAAAAAGGTTTCTAAAATAAACAGGGCATGCAACTTGAGCCATGGTTCTAGGAAATATAAAGGAAGACCTACAAAAGTGTTATTAACCATAATACCAAACCAGTAGGATGGAATAAGTCTTTAAATAATCAAGTAAATTGATTAATAGAATGCATCCCTTTTAGGCACATATTCTAATAAGTTTCTAAAATATATATTATAAATTATCACTTTAATGTTGGTCTCATATATCGTATGGAGAATGGCTTGCTCAAATTCCCTCTATGCTTCCCATATTTTACTACCTTCAGCAACATGCAAACCAGCAACAGTTATAGCATGCTCGAAGAGATTTCTTCCCTTTGCAATACCATCAGGTGAAAATTCATGTACAGATGGATCATATTCTTGCACAAATCTCAAGCAGTCACACCAAAGTGAGACAGACTTCACCAGAACAAGTTCTAGTAATTCAATTTTAAAGAACTACTTAGTTAAAGGAACTCCAAAGAATGGATTTAATATTTTTATCCCCTGATTCCACATATATGCAAATTTTGATTGAAAGTAGCAAGAACTTGATTTCCCATAAAAAGTAGGGAAAAAGATTACAACATGCAATTAAAACTTCCAAAATGTACTGCCACTTAAAAAAATAGATTTCCATTCCCAAGAAGTTTGAAAAAGTTTATCCTATCGCCTAATTTGGTGGAAAAATTATTATGCATCAAAAAGGAACCAAGTGTCTTTAAAGACCATCACAAATGTAAGAATATTGATATACATTCTGAATTTCAAGGCCTGCAATCATCTTTACCATACAAATGAAACTAATGAGCCATTTTGTCATTAGTAATTACTTATTGGAAAAATTCAGCCAGTTAAAAGTCATAGATCTGGCAAGTTGAATTTTTTTACCAAAAAGTTATTTTTAGGAAAATAACTAAAAATACCACAAATGAAAATTCTTAAGATCACTATGTTTTAATCCATAAATCAACACATAAAGTAATTCAAAATCCAAAATGATAACAAAAACCTACCAGATAATCAGAAACTCCTCTTTCATAAATCTTCTCAATCCCCAGAAATGCCTCAGGTCTGCAATGTTGAAGTAGAGAATCAGCAAGAAACTACCTTCAGCTAGACAAAGCGATAAAATCTCAAAGTATACCTAAAGCTATAGTATCAGTCATGCAGAACAAGAAAAAATCAAAATCTTAAAAATTTAGCTGATCGCCCTTTTATTTTTTTGCTTTGGCGGTAACTGCCATCAAGAGGTACACTTACTGATTTTCAACATTGAGCTTCATGTTTTAGAGAAACTAATATACTTATACTATGAGAAATGAGTTTTGCAAGAGGGCAAGTAGGCTATCCATAAAAGAAATGACAAGAGGGAACTCAAAATCTATAAACAAACAAAATATCAGACAATTACAAATTATCAAAAACCAACCTCTCAAGTCAACCATCACTGCTTCCTAGTTGCAACATACCGAAAAAAATAGAAAGGAAGAAAGCTCAAAAATTCATTTCTTTTACTCAATTAAGTTGACATTTGAGCTAAGGCTCAGTAGATAGAAGTCACATAAACTTGAATTCAACATTGTTTTCACCATTTATGCCCCAAAAGATAATCACTTCCTCCTTTCAAATGAATCCATTTAAGTTTTCTCTTTATACTTTCTCTTGTTAACCATAAACCCTAAGCGATCAAAATTTGATCATGAAACTAATAACAAGAACACAAAATACAAAAACTAAAACATACCTAGTTAAAATAGAAGCTTCATCTCGAGCCCACTGTTGCCACATAACAGGAGTCAATGGAAAAAATCTCATTCATAGCTTCTCTTGCTTGTCTCAGCTTCTTAATCTCACCCATTTTCCTCAAAACCCTTATGTACTAATGCCACCAACAAAAAGAATAAAAAGGCAAAACAATGTTATTACAAAAAACAAAAATCCAAGAACTGGTATTGAAATTCATATTCAAATTGATATAAAAACGTACTTTAACATGGACTTCATAGTTAGGGCTCATTGGCGAGCTGGGACTCGATAATTTTTGCTGTGCTTCATCTTCATCTTTTGAGTCTGAGTCTGAGTCACTTGACTCTCTCGAGTCTGCAGAGTTGGGCTCTGTTGCTTCTGCATTTCCGTTAGTATCCGCCATAGCCATGTTTTGTGTCTTCTTCTTCTCGGGTTTTTGGCGCTAGGATTTGATCTTCTGGTTCCATTCTTCTGCTTCGTTTGCTCTGCATTTCTCTCAAGTGTGCTGAAGGGTCGGGTTTACTTAATAGATGAAAGTGTTTGTTGAACCTTCTTCTTACCATAACCAAAATAAAGCATTTGCGCAGTTGGATGAACTTTTGTAGGACTCTGCTCCATAAAAAGTCTAATACTCACTAAAGTTTTATCACATAAACTCTAATTTTGCTTTTGGACCGGAAATTGAGGAAGCTCGTTCAAACATTCACAATAATTTTCGGCCTTCATTAGTAACTGCATGACTAAGGACATTGTACATTCAGTTAGCTTCACATTTTTCTCTGCCATCTTATGAAAGAGTTCAACAAATTTTGGCATCTCATTATTCTTTAGGAAACCAAACATAAGCGTATTAAATGTGACTACATTTAGAGCACAAACTTTTTCCTCTATATATGACAACAATCATTTGCCATTTCTAGTTGTCCATTTTTACACAGCCCATTGATCAAAATGTTATATGTTACAACATTTGGCACCAGGTTTCCATGAAGAGAAAATTTCTGAAATAGGTCCTAAGCAGTTTCGAATCTCCCTGTTTTACATAATCCATCAATGAGGGAATTCAAACCTTCAATGCTAACTACAAACTTATTATTCACTAGAGCATTAAAAATTTCCACTGCTTCCAAAACACATCCATTCTTGCAAAGTCCATCAATGAAAATGTTATATGTCCAAGAATCAGGGACTAAATTCCATGCATCTTTCACCTTAGCTATAAGGAAAAACCTAGTTAACAAGGTGGTATATGTAATCACATTAGGCCTAATTCCTTCTAAAATCATCTCTTGATAAAGACTAAGAGCTTCATTGACTTCTTTATTCTTGCAATACCAATTGATTAAAGTAGTGTAGCACAACATTAGGCCTATACCCTTTTCTAGTTATAGAATCAAACAACTCCCTTGCATCACAAATTCTATCTGCCAAGTAATAACCATTTATTAAAATGGTGTAAGTATAAATGTTAGGAACCACACCTCTCTGAATCATATGTTCCAAAAATAGTTGTCTAGCCTTCTCACCAATCCAGACTTGCAAAGACCATCAATTATAGTGCTATAAGTAACAACATCTGGCCTACAAATAACACCAAATTCTTTATTCCCATTAACCATCTCTTCAAGCAACTTAATGGCAACACTTATCTTCCTTGTTTCACACAATCCACCAATCAAAGTGTTGCAAGTGATCACATTAGCCCTACAACCAATAGTAACCATTTGCTTAAACAATTCCATTGACTCCAAATCTTCTCTCTACACATAGACCTTTAATCAAACAAGTAAATGTCACGGTATTTGGGCTAAAACCCAACTTCAAAATCGCCCCAAAAGCCGCATAACCATTAGAAACCCTTTCAATATTACAGAAGCAATTCATCAAAATATTCAAAGATATAAGATCCAGAGACAACCCCCTTGAATTCAATAGCTTATGAAGCGAAATCACTTTATAGTAATGCTTCTTCTTTGCTAGTGCACTAAACAAAGTAGTGAATGATGAAATTGAAGAAATGGGTTTCATATTAATCATGTAATAAAAAAAGTACAATGCTTCATTTAGAGTAAAGCTACCTGATCGACAATTTTCTTTGAGGAATTTAGCAAGTGAGGATCGGTCCAGGGGTTTTTCCAAAGAATACAAAACTTCATTTTTGGAGCTTGAAGACGTGAGGTTGTGTAAGTGAGCTAACAAAAATAAAACATTAACTTTTAAAAAAGGGTTTTGAGAGATTGAAGACGAAGGAAATAGAGATCTCAAAGCCATGTATGAAGAGTGTTTTTCCAAAGTAAGTTTATCACAAAATGCAAATGCATTAAAGAGAAATGTTTTGACAAATTTCATAAACAACCTTCATGATTTCACTTAGCACCCTGAAGGTTAAAAATGTAAATCCACCTTCAACCTTTAGGTGCTTTTTGGTTTGACTTTTGAGCTGGTTTTCTACTGAATCCAAAATTATAATAAACCTCAGAAGGGTTGACTTGATGTCCTTAACTCTTTATGATACTATTCTAATATTCCACACATTAGCTTATCCACAACGTACATTACACATTAACATATATGATTGTAAAATTTGGAAACAATGGTATCCATCAAAACTAAATTCTAAAAACAATTACAAGATTCTGAAAACGATGTTTGGCACTAGGCTTTTAATGAGAGAAAATTTCTGAAATAGCTATCAACCTATTTTGGATATCCCTGTTTTACATAATCCATCAAAGAGGGAATTCAAGCTATCGAGGTCAACTACAAACTTATTATTTACTAAAGTATGAAACATTTCCACTACTTCCAAAATATGTCCATTCTTGCAAAGTTTATCAATGAAAATGCTATGTGTCCCAGAATCAAGTAAAACACCATAAAGTTGCATCTCACCAACTAAGTTCCATGCATATTTTACATTAGCTTTAAGAAAAATGCTAGTTAACAAAATGTTTCATATAATCACATTAGGCCTAATTCCTTCTAAAATCATCTCTTGATAATCAGAACTTCGTTAACTTCTTTATTCTTGCAATACCAATTGGTTAAAGTATTGTAGAAAAAAACATTAGGTCCATATCCCTTTCTAGTTAAAATTTCTTCATTTATAAGATCAGTTTTTATGTTGTTTATTAGAGACTACTATTAGAGGTGCGCCATGAGGCAGCAAAGTCAAATTTGAAGTTCATTAGAGACTATACTTTAAATAATAGGTGGAATCAATCAGAAGAGAGAAAAAATTTACAACTATAAGACTTTTCTATTCTAATTTTTCAAGGCATCATACTCTGCAAGAGAATCGATGAGACATGAGGTAGAATCTTGAACTTTTCTATCCATGGTCTTAACATGCTATTCTCTCAACTAATTTCTTTTATTCAATGATAGTGGATGGATCATTATGTATTTATTAACATTCGTTTGTTGTTTATTGATTAAATTTTCCATCTTCTCCTCTTTGTTTTTATGTTTATCCTATGCAACACAAATTTTATGAGATAATTTTAATAATGTTTAATCAAGATGCTTACAATCATTGTCTGCTTATTGATTAAAATTTTCTTACGTCAATCAACAACACAACTACTTTTATAAGATAACATAAAATGATTATATTAATTTAATCTTCTTTATAAAAATATTATTTAAGTGCAAAACATTTAACTTATTTATGACTTTCATTTTAAAATTAATATTCTCATTTTAAAAGAAGGACATTTATGACTTTTCAACATTCATAAGAAACCTTAGGTTTTTCCCTACTTTGTGCCTTTTTTTTTCCTTTCCTCTTTCCTCCCTTCTTTCTTTTCACTCTCTCCCCCCTCTTCTTCTTCCCTTCTCATCGGGCTACCCCATGGCCAGATCAAGTTTCTAACAATTGCATAGAGATTGGATCTGGCCTCTACTGGCCCAAAGAGGGTTAAATTTGATTTTTATCAGATTCAGCCTCACCATCGTCGTAAGCCAGATCTAGCCTCCGGGCACTATATCCAACCTCTATGGTAGGGATGTAAAAACCTTAAACCTGGTCAAGCTTGCCCTAGCTCGACTAGGACTATTGGTTGAGTCGAGCCTCTCTCGAGTTGTTAAATACTCGAGCTCGACTCAAGTAGTACTCGTAATAAGTGTCAAGCCGAGGTAAACTCGGCTCGACTAGGCTTGCGAGTCAATATTACTCGTTTGGGTTTTTATGCGATAATTACAAGTAATAGGTATGTTTTGTAATTACCATGCAGAAGGTGAAAAAGGTTTAAAATTGCTGCGCATTGCTGCACGTGGCTGCACTTGGTTGCACATTGCCGCACGCCACTAGGCAATCCTAAGGCTCCTTGGCTGTGCCTTCATGCACGGCTAGCCATCAATTAAAGGGGTATGTGCCTCACAACGCATTACCTTTGGCGCATGGCGCCTAGGTGCTTGCTTGTGCAAGTAAACTGAACTAACGCATCAAAAGATTCCACATGAGATGGTAAACCCAGTGTCTGTGGAATATATACTCTTAAGGATGGGGGTGCATGTGGTCCTTCGACTTGAGATCGCCAGAGCAGCATGTGTAAATATCGATGCAATTTGACACTAGCCTAACGTCATCTCTTTTAGGGATTATCATAGTGGTGGTGATTAGTTACATCGAGAAGTACACTATGGTTGTGGTGGATCAACAAATGATTCATCACTCCTAGTTACAGGAGATCTTATCTCAGCAAGATATTTGGTCAAAGAACTACGACCTCAAATCTATGGCCACGGTGAAATTGAGCTGGTGCTTGAATCCAATAGTCATCAGATTCAAAACCAAATATAGAACATGTCAAGGTAGCTTTTGAGGTGGACATTAATTTTGAACCTCAAACCTTAATGAGATAAAAGATGATGAAACGGATCGAATTGCACAGTAACCATATCAAAGACAAGGTAAGCCTAAATAACTGATTCTTTACTTACCAGGGAATCATGATCCCTTGCTAGAGGTTAATCTTGATTGGTGTACGAAAACACTAATTACTTGATGCTTAATTAGTTATCAGGACACTGCCGACAAAGTGAAGAGCCTTTGGGTCACACACATAGAAGGTAGTTAAGTGAGAAGTGGAAATGGAAGGAAAATCTTGTCCTTGGGCCGAAAAGGGCATTTCGATAATTTGAGAGTCCAGGGGCATTTTTGTCATTATGGGCGAAAAGGGCACTTTGGTAATTTTGCTAAAGGGTTGACGCCATTATCCAATTTATTGGGAGAATTTTTAGAAAAATTGGAATCATATTAATCTTAATTAATATAGAGAATATATATTTAATTTAATTAAATATATATTAAAGCTCATGTATTAAATATGATAAATATATATAAAAATATATGGATTAAATAAATAGCAATATTTATTTAATTAGAATATGTATTTATATAGGAAATAAATAAATAGGAATATTTATTTAATTAGGATTCATATTTAAGGAGAATATCTTTGAGAGATATTCTAATCCCTTATATCAAGGATTGCAATCCAATTCAAATGGAATTAAAAAGATTGTAATCCAATCCAAATAGGAATTAAGGATTTACAATCCTTATTGGATTCTTATTTGGGATTGCCTATATAAAGAGTCATTGGGTTTTGATTTAATAAAGTAATTATCAAAAAGTTAATTTTGCAAATTAAAGAGCAAAATTAACTCTCCCAAAAACCCTAGCCGCCAACCATAGAGAGAGAAATTCTCTCTCTAAAATCCGCCATCTCCCTTAAGCCCTCCAATTGATCTAGTAGTCAATCTTAGGGTGATCTCAAGCCTGCCTTCAAGTGGATACCATCAAACTCGATCCTACATTGGATCGATAGCGAAGTACTTGTGAACAGTATCAGTGAATAATACTCATGAATAGTACCCATGAAAAGTCCAGTGAACAGTTCCGATGAACAGTGCATGAACAATACTGAAAGTTATAATCTAAAGAAGGAGTCGCCAATAGGAGGTATAATCCTATCCTTGTATGGGTTAATTTATGTAGGTTAATATATCGAAATCGTGATCTTGGGTAATTGAATCATGGCATGGCGAGAATTTTTTTTTTTTTTTTTTTTTTTTTTTTTTTTTTTGTGTTATTATTCCGCACTTGCCATGACATGAAGTTCTGGATGCATGTCATGGGATGCATTCAGGCATCCAAAACTAAGAAATGAAATATAAAATGTGATAACTGTAAAGAATCGATAAATAAAATGACAATTGTAAATAGACCTGTCCATGAAGGCGGAATTTAACAATAATAAATAAATCTGACTATAAAGACGGAATTTAACAGTAATAAATATATCCGACTATAAAGGCAGATTTTAACAGTAATAATAAATAAATCTAACCATGGAGGCGGAAATTAATAGTAATAAATAAATCCGACCATAGATGCGTAATTTAACAGTAATAAATAAATCTGACTATGGAGCCAGAATCTAACAATAATAAGTAAATCCAACCATAAAGGCAGAACATGTGGGATTGAAAATACGCAGAAGTTAATGATAATAAATAAATTCAGCCATAAAGGCAGAAAACAAGGATTAAATAATATTTATAAGGTTGAAAATACATACTTTCAGTAGGCCTACACCGTTATACTTGATAAGCTGGTCGTGCTGATAATGTGTTATAATTTAGTGGTGCAATTCAATAATAATTCAAGAAGGATAAAGTGGAGAAAATAAAATAAAAGGGATGAAAGTGAGAGTTGTGAGAGGTGTTTGCTATAATCTTGGATAGACTGAAGAATGAAAGGGATGCGCCCCCCGGCACCCCCCATGTCCTCCCCCCCTTCTTTCTTCTTCAAAAACACCAACCCCAACTTTAACCGACGCAAGGTTTCCTCCACCACTAGGTAATTGGTGGTGGTTGACCTTTTTATAATAGTTGAAGATATTTATTTTTATATAATTAATCTAAATTGTGCAAAGGGAACTATGGGAATGTAGTTAGGCTCAATCCAACCTGCGGCCCATTCACTTTACAACAAGACTAGACTGAGGCTGGGCCGTTCAGACTCGGTTTACTACTAACACCCTTAGCATGCAAGCCTATTAGGCCAATACCATAAATCTGCATAGCGAGTTAGCGACTGCCCAGACTTGGGAGTTGAAAACGCGAAGTTGCAAAACAGAAAACAAACTCCGGAGTTGAGTTCGGTTTCTCATATATAAAAACTTAAAAACTCAGTATGTGCATCTCTTGAACTCAACGACCCAACCCGTGCTTTCTCTATTTCTTGGCATTCACGTAACGGGTTCTTCTTCTTCTTCCTCTTTCTTTGTATTTTGTTTCTATTTATCTTTTTTTTTTCTGAATTGTAAACGTTACAGGTTTTTCTTTCCTTTTCTGGGTTTCTCTCATTTTTCAGGAGAAACAAACACTCTCCCTCGTTTATCAACTCTCTTGTTTTCGATAAAGTTCTCGTTTTTATCCATTTTAATTCTTGTTTGACTCTTTAAAAGTATCTTTTATTCTTTTATACTTGAGGTTTGTGATGCTTTTTAACTCTGTTTTCTGTTCTGTTTTGTTATGTTAACCCATTACAAAACCACAGTTTAATTCTTGTTTTACTATTTATGTATCAACCCATTTGATGGCTATTGAGCAATCTTTTCTTTGTAATAACAAAAATATGGGCAAAGACTAGGGCTTTAATTAAGTTTATAACTGATTATTGATATGATTATGAACGGTTATGTTTCAGTTGCGAATTCTGATGTTTTGCTTTTGCATGTTTGTTGTGTTACAGTGTTAGAACATTTTAGATAATGATGATTACACAACTTAATGGTGGTAGACTTTCTAGTGGACTGAGAACTAGAAATAGACATCAGAATTCAGTGGCCAAAGCAATTACATCAAGGTTTCTATTGCAACAAGGTGGAGTTCGTGATTCTTGTGTAGCATTTGATAGGAATTGCCGCCTGTCCTTGGAGCATAGAAGTAGTGTGCCATTCTTGGTTACTCGTGGTAGAAATTCTAATTTTCTGGTGGCTTATGATCCGCTGAATTCTGATTTGAGTGTGGATTCTGCTGATGGTGAGGAGACGTTTAATTTAGAAGATGACAGTGGTTTCAACTGTTTGTCCGGAAAATACCCGTAAGACTGAAAACACAACATTTGGTTGTTTTTCTTTTTACTTTAGTTGCATTTTATGTGTTTGGGCTGCATTATGCATTTGTATGTGAATAACGTGCTTGTAATTTTGTATTATATTTATGTTCCTATTCTGCTTGGTTGAATGAGTGTAGTTCTTACTATTCTTGAGTCAGTTCATTTGTATATGAAAAGATTATGATTGATTTTTGAATATTGCTTGGTGTTAATGCATCTATGGCTGTGTCAATTTTTTTGTAATTTTGTCTGCAGCAAATTGGAAAGGATACCTATCAGTGATTATCTAGATTCCAAAAGCGAGGTTGACAAATCACATTCTTTAGATATCAAGCGTGAGCTTACAATGCTTACTTTGCCTGCAATTGTGGGACAGGCCCTTGATCCCTTAGCACAGCTGATGGAGACTGCTTATATTGGTAGAATAGGTAGGTTTGATGTTATATACATTTGTTTGATTTTCAATTTTTTGCTGGTATTAAAACCTTTATTGCATTTGATCTATTAACAACAATTTTGTTTTATCTAACACTTGCTTTGTTCTGATTCATTATAGTAAAGCTGAGCTGGATTGAGGTTCTTTAGTTTTGCTTATTGTTTTCTTATGAAAGCTTAATTTGGTGCTGTAGGTTCTGTCGAGTTGGCTTCTGCAGGTGTTTCTATATCGATCTTTAATATTATCTCGAAGTTGTTTAATTTTCCTCTCCTCAGTGTTGCTACTTCTTATGTTGCTGAGGAAGTTTCAAGTAATGCAATTGAAGATTTAACATCAGGTCAATATAAACTGGCAATCTAATGCAAGATGGTCTTTATTGAATTTTAGAAGATTCAACATTTTTACATTCACCACATCTAACTGGGTTTTATTCTTGTGTAGTAGGAGGCGGTGGTAATAGAACACNTTACTTGGGTGGGTGGGGTGTTTTTGTTAATTTATAAACTTTTATTGAGGAATGTAATTGTTAAATGTTTTGAGTTAAATATAATATGATAAGATTATGAATTGAATAGTCAATATCAAAACAAACACATTTTTCACTTTTTAGGATAGGATAATAGAATATAATAGAGTTTGAAAAGTTAAACAAACAAGGGAACAATAGTCCAGCTCAAAACATATGTGATCAACACACACAGCATCAAACATCAGATTACATCAACACAAACAAAACAGATCAAACAAAAGAGATTACACCAACATAAATAAAACATCAAGAGAAATGCCAATGCACCAATTAGGGACAAGCAACTTGCAGCCGCAAACAAAACAGGTTACATCAACACTAACAATATCAAACACCAAACTTCAAAACAAAGGATGGTTACTTTAAATAAAGTCTTATGTACCAGCCAAAAGTCTACCAAAACTTCAAGGGATTGGAAGTTCAATCTCCACTATTTTCTTTACTTTCTAAAGAACAAAAAGGAAAACAAATAGTTTTAGTTAGAATAAATTAAAACTAAACCGTAAATAAATATGATAAAATACATATATAATTTTAATAAATGGAAGTATGGAACTTACTTTGTTCCTTTTCTTGACTCCATAGAGTTTGTGACACCAATCACCTCCACAGATTAACACTTGCATTGTTTCGAGAGTCAATGAAGCTCGATAAGTATCAATCACTCTTCTTCCAGCACTAAAAGTTGCCTCCAAGGCTATCGTGGTGATAGGAATGACGAGTATATCACAAGCCATCCTAGATAAAATACGATACTTCAAATTATTCACCTTCCACCACTCTAACGCATCAAACGAGTCTTCATCCTCCTCACGTAAATAACATCCTTCTTTGAGATAACGATCTAACTCATATTTTTTTGGTTGCACAGTTTCAACCGTTTGCACAAACTGTTTGAATCATGACCAACCATGTGCACCACATTGTACATTCACCTAATCAACCCTATTGATTTCAACAGCTTGCTTATTGCTAGGAGATTGACTTTCAGGTTTCAGCCACATATTCCCCATAAATTTCATACAAGGCCTCTCGTACTCTATCAATTTTTTCTCGTGCTTCTTCATGAGGATACATTTCTGGGACAAAAAACTCTACCACCCTCATTTTCATCCTCGAGTTCAATATAACAGCAATTGTCATTAACAAATTTCATTCCCTGCAATACTTGTTGAACTTTTCTTTCATCTTTACGACCATTGCTCGGATGAAATCATCTTTATCATGTGACTTTTCATCTAACAAAACTTTGATCTGATAAATTCTTTCAAAAATAAGTTTGAAGTGGGATAGTCACTCCCAAAGATGATATTAGTTGTAGAATTGAAGACTTCCAAAATCTCACAAACTTTCTCCCAATCTTCTTCATTTGGGGAAGAAGTAAAATGAGGATCACATTCCTTGAACATTGGAAATACCTCTTTGAACTTAATTACAAGTACCAACATCTCATAAGTAGAATTCCACTTCGTTTTACAATCAAGTATAAGTTTTCGGTGAGGCAACTGTAGCATTCGAACAATCTCTGAAAACATAACAACTCTAGCCTCCGATAGCTTGACATACGAAATACTCTCATGTATGTCTTGAATGATGTGGTTAATTTGGGAAAGCCCATCTTAAACCATAAGATTCAAGATCTATTTCGAGCACCACACATGAAACAACTTCCCGCCACATAACAACTTCCCGCCACATAACAACTTATTGTTCCTTCCTAAATTCTGCTGCAAAATCTTGATTGCCGCATCATCACTTGAAGCACTATCAACTGAGATAGTGTACACTTGTTCTCAATTTCCATTCCATCAAACACTTATGAATAGAATCAATAATCTCAACACCATATCAGGAGTAGGTAAATGAACAAAGCTAATAATAAGCTTCTGCAACTTCCAATCATTATTTATAAAATGTCCGGTGATAACCGATCGTGGGCTATTCCGACAACTTCTAGCCACTGTCCAACGGTGGTGGCCGACTGCCGGCATTTAATGGGTGGGTGGGGGTATTTTTGTTAATTTTAAAACTTTTATTGTANAAGTGATGCGCATAAGATTGAAGATAATCAAGGACTTGATGTTGGTTGGGGAATAGATCAGTGACAGAAGATGGCCATGGAAAATCTGAGAATTGAAATGCTGGTGTAGGAGATTGTAGCTTAGTAGTCTCTATAGTTTTGGTCCAAACTCCTCCAACACTACTTTGAGCTTCAAAAACAATGGGATGGAAACCTTTTGACAGGACATACTTACAGGCAAGAAGGCCACTGATACCAGCTCCAACAATGGCTATTTGTTTCTCCATTGCCAACTAGGATTTCTTCCTCAAAGTACATCTGCCTAATATAATCCTTCACCCCTGCCAAAGGTTGGCATTGTATTTTCGAGTATCATAATTAAAATGTGATCACAGATTTATAACATTTAATGATATATTAATTAAAAAAAGCCTTTAGTTGGGGTCACTATTCAATTTGAATTGAAATTATTTATTCCTAACAAATTGTATGCTTACACTATTTCTGTATATGATATTCTCATGTAGGCCTCAACTCCTGAGGGAGTGATCTTATTGTAATCAAAGTTTAAAATCCTGCAACTTTTGTCAGTGTCAACTAAAGCAATATTTTAAAGAGCATGATAAATGATATATCTTATTTAAATGTTAGATGTAACGTTTATATATAATTTATGCGAATCCCAGCCCCATTTTTCAAGATGTTACGACATTAGTTGAACAGTGTCGGTGGTTGGAGGATGAAAAAAGTATTTGCACAAAGACAATCAACACTATTATCACATCAGAATTGATTTTATTGTGCTAAAGTCTCAATGAATGCATTCCCTAACTATTTCAAAGTGTGATGTGAAGTGTCCCACCATAATTTTTACATAAATGATTGAAATTTGTCACATTATGAGAATCTATGTGTTCCACTGGTATTGCAGAAACAAACTTAACAGATGTAGCAACAATCAACAATACTTTTGCTGCTGTGTCTTGTTTCACATGCATACTCTTTTTGCATTGAAAATGGTTACAAAACACAAATTAGAAGAAAATGAATATTAAATTCATAAGGGTAGTCAATCAATTAACTACTGCAAACGTAATCCAGAGGTCCATAAGGTTCAAACAATTCAGCGAACAATCCTTTCTTTCTCCTGGGGTTCCATCCCATGTCCTTACATAGTTGATCATTGTACCAAATGTGAATAATAGCTATGCATGATCTCCTGTAATACTGGCCTGAGTATCTTTTCATGTATTCATCCCATTTTACCATATCCTTTTCCATATCTTTTATTGCAGGTAGTTTGAATGTTCCATCGAGAAACTCTACTAGCCACCGGCATCTCATTTCTGAAGTGTACAAGTTTGAAAGACCCTCTGAGAATCCAATTACTGCTAGTTGAGGTATTTGGGGATGAATGATTTCCCTGATCATATTGGAAAAACATTACAAGTTACCTGATAAGAAAGATTACTAATATAATAGAATGCCAAAAATAATACTCTAATTCATTGAAACAATGGAAGTTTGAATTCAACATTTCTAATGATAGTTTATAAATTGCCAAAATTTGATGATATTTTTACCTATAGAGTGGCAGTGTTCCATCGGGGGAGCTCCCAATGCAGTCTTGAAAGGTTTGGGACACAAAAATGTCCTTTAGCTTTTTATCACCCCTGAATCCTGTTGCCGATATGACCAAATCTGTCTTTTGAGGCGCAGTCTCACCATTGATCAAAATTCCTTCTTCACAAAAGCTGAAACTTTGAAATTTCTTCAGAATGATGCTACCTTCTTCAACTTTCTCATAGAACTTTTCTGGAACTGTTGATGCTAGGCATGAACTGATTTCTTGAAGGAAACTATGCTTTGGTATCATTCCATACTTGGCCAATGGATGCTTCTTCTTGATATAACTTTCCACAAATTTTGATATTCCCCATCTCTGGTAATTGCAAGCTATGTAAGTTAGACCCTCAAAAGATAAATTCTTCCCAATGTAGTTAAAAAGGACAAATAGACCGAACAAAGAAATGCTACCAGTGGTGAAAGCAATGTTGCCAATAGACTTAGCAGGATCCCTTCTCCAGGCTTCGGAAGCAAAAGCTCTGAGAACTTATTAAGGTAAAGAAATGCCAGAGGTAACCCCCAAGGAAGGTAATCAGGTAAATTCCAATGTTCAGTCTTGTATAAAATTGTACATGGAATTTTCACCCCTGGAATTCAGATCACGAAGATTAGTGCAATAAATTGGAACATGTAGATAATTTGTATATAACTGCTTTCGTTTTGGCAGTTTGAGTCAAGATTAATTTGTCTTACCATTGGCTGCTGAGCACTCCATTGCAATATCCAATGCAGATTTCTGGAACCCAACAACAGTAACCCGCTTCCCTTTGACAAATTTGGCTACACTTTCATAATCCATGGCGGCATAGTCCATGGAATGTATCACCTCGCCATGAAATGCTTCTGGACCCTTGCTTGGAGGAAATTCCGGGATGTTTGGAAAATCACTGAATCTCCCCACACACAGAATCACAAAGTCCACTTGGTAAACCTGCCTTAATTTGTTAGACCATGATTGAACAGTAGTATTAGCTTCTTTAAAAATAATGTGCATATAAAAGCCATTGATGATGTAAACATTTGAACTAATCCTAAAAAAATGAAAAATATGAATACCTCTGTTGAATTGTTTTGTAAGTCCTCTACCATGACCTTCCATTTCCCTTGAGGGTTAAAGGGCAAACCATTGCCATTCCACAAACTCTAGGACTGCATCTCGTCATCGGAAGAGCCTTCAAATTCAATGGAAACAACCTTGGAATCGAATTTGATATGCTTAACCAAGTCAAATGGTGTGCATAAGATTGAACATAATCCAAAACGTGATGTTGGTCAGGAAACTCCTCAGTTAACGAAGATGTGTTGGTTCAAGGAAGAAAATTTCAGAGTAAAAATGAGAGATTGAAAGTGAAGGAGACGGCAAGATTTTAGGGATTTTTCTCTCTTCATTTCATTCATTGAACAGAGCAATGTATATACAAACTTACGTCACTGTTTTACCTACTGCAGTAAAAGTAAAATATTACAAATACACTTTTACAAAAAATATGCACCAACCCAAGTCAAGTCTCAACAAAACATGACATAAAGTCTTCACATGAGTGGCCTGATATCTGCTCCATAACCACTGCAGTCTTAACAAAAATAGAAGCTGAAACTTTGGCTCCAAAAATTAGGTTTGAATATCCAACGGAACTTGTCCCATTTCCAGCAGGTTATCACCTACATCATCACTCCTCCTTGATAAGCTTGCTGGAAACACCAAGTCTAAGTCTCAAACTCTCAAACTTGGTTTTAGGTAGACCCTTGGTCATGATATCTACAAGTTGATCTTCACCCCTGCAATGGATTAGTTTCACTTCAGCATTACTTTCAGCTTCTCTCATGGCATGGAACTTGATCTTGATATGCTTTGTCCTGCCATGTAGGATTGGACTCTGTGCCATAGACACTGCTGATTGATTATCACAGAAAATTTCAGTAGGTTCTTCTTGAATCTGCCTCAAATCCAGCATGATTTTTCTCAACCAAATAGCTTGGTTAACTGCGGCAGCAGCAGAAATGTATTCTGCTTCTGCCCGTGGACTGAGCTGTTTTGTCTTGCTTCTTGGAATGCCAGCATATGGCCCCTGAGTTCAAGAAGAATACATAACCTGATGTACTCCTCATATCATCAATACATCCAGCCCAATCACTATCCGAGTAGCCAACAAGCTGCAATTTTTTAGCCTTTTTGAACCATATTCCAAGCTCAGCACTTCCTTTAATATACCTTAGCACCCTCTTGGCTGCCTTGAGATGAATTTCACTTGGATTGGACATGAACCTAGAGAGGACACTCGCTGCGAACATTAAATCTGGTCTTGTGGCAGTCAAGTACAGAAGGCAGCCTATAATGCTTCTATACATTGTTTCATCAACCTTCTCAGCATCATCATCCTTACTTAGCTTTAAATTCACAGCCAGTGGAGTATCCACTGATTTGCATTTGTCCATATTGAATTTATGCAGAATTTCAGTTGCATACCTCTTTTGATTGACAAATATCCCATAGTGACTTTGGTGGATTTCCATCCCAAGAAAGTAGGACATCTCCCCTAAATCAGTCATCTCAAATTCTTTATGCATGGCTGATTTGAAATCATTAAGTTGAGTTGAGCTACTCCCCATGATGAGTAGGTCATCGACATATAGTGAAACTATCGTAAACTCATTTTCCAGCCTCCTAACATATAGAGTGTGCTCATTAGCACTCCTTGCATAACCCAAACTCATCAAATACTCATTAATTCTGCTGTACCAGGCTCTAGGAGCCTGTTTCAAGCCATATAAGGCCTTTCTCAGCAAATACACCTTATGTTCATGCCCTTCCACTTCATATCCCTCCGGTTGCTCCACAAAAATTTCCTCATTGAGCCAACCATTTAAGAATGCTAACTTGACATCTAATTGGTAGATTCTCCACTCAAATTGGGTTGCCAATGCAAGAAGAATCAGTATCATGCCTAGCCACTGGTGCAAAGGTATCCGAAAAATCCACACCATATTGTTGAGCAAAACCTTTAACAACTAGTCTTGCTTTATGTTTTTACACTGAACCATCAGGCCTTAGCTTCCTTTTAAAAATCCATTTTACTTGGATCACTCTCCTGGTTGTTGGTATGTCAACTAACTCCCATGTTCCATTCTTCTCAATCATGTTTATCTCCTCCTGCATTGCATTCCTCCAGATTTCGGATTTAGCAGCCTCCCTGAAGTTTGCAGGTTCAAGCATGGCTGCATTACATCTCTCATAAACCTCAGCCAAAGACCTTGTTCCCCTGATTGGAAAATCATCATCCAAGTCTGCCTCTTCTGGAATCTCAAACTGTCCACTGGTGCATCTACAATCTGCTCTATTCTGTCCATTTCAGCTTCATTTTTCACCCAGTTCCAGGTCCCTTTTTCATCCACCCTCACATCCCTTGTGATGTGTATCTTCTTGGTTGCAGGATCATAGATTCTATAGGCTTTAGACTGCTCACTGTATCCTATAAAAATTCCTGTCAAAGCCTTCTCATCTAGCTTGCTTCTTTTAGCTGCTAGGATGAGAGCATAACACACACTCCCAAAAATTTTCAGGTTTCTAACTGAGGGCTTCATTCCATACCAAGCTTCATTGGGTGTTTGATTTGTCAAGGATTTAGTTGGGAGTCTATTAAGCAAATAGACCCCTGTATTTGCAGCTTCTGTCCAAAATGATTTGGGCAGCCTCTTCTCAGCAACCATGCACCTTGCCATCTCCATTACAGTCCTATTTTTTCTCTCACTAACTCTATTTTGCTGTGGAGTATAGGGACAACTGAACTGGTGAACAATTCCAGCCTCCCTGCAGATTTTCTCAAATTCGTTGGAAGTATACTCACTCCCATTATCACTTCTAACAGTTTTTATACATAGGCCTGATTGTTTTTCAACCTGCACTTTAAACCTCTCAAACACCACTGCAACTTCACTCTTTAATTTCAAAAAATACACCCAGCACAACAGGGAATAATTATCAATGAAGAGGATAAAATATTTGCTTCCATTTAGGGATGGTGTTTGCATAGGTCCACACACATCCGTGTGGATGAGTTGTAGCCTCTCACTAGCTCTCCAGGCCTTGTTAACAGGGAAGGGTAATCTGCTCATCTAGCCAAGTTGACAAGTAGCACAAATGGTTTTGTTTTCAGCAATTTCGGGTAGGTCACAGACCAGCTCTTTGGTTTGAGTTTCCTTAAGACTATGGTAATTTAGGTGGCCTAATCTCTTATGCCATAATTCAGTCTCATCTACATTCACAACACATGCTTCGAAATCTGGTTTGTTCAGCCTAATGGGAACACTTTTTCCCATCATCCTTACCTTCATCAATTCATTCCCTTCACTGTCCAGGATTGTGCAAAACTGATCCTGGAAGTGCAGGG